CTCGGGCTCTGGGCAGCGACGATCAGCGACGTAAGTGGAATGTCGAAACAGAGGCGTGGCGCGTCTCGGGCCCTCAGGGTCCTCGCCGGGACTCCTTCAGACCCCGGTTCCCGGCCCTGGACTTGTTCATCTGGTCTTTCCCGGGCCTGCTCCGGGTCCCTGATACGCCCCATGAGCCTTTCGTCTGTTAACGGGCGTGGAGACCTCCCTCCTCCGGCTGGACTTGGGCTGTGGGGAAGCTCAGTGAAGCTAGTGCACGGGGACGGCTCTCCCTTCTGCGCGCTGCTGCTGTTCCTGCGGATCGCCTTTCCCTAAGTCCTGGCCCCTGGCTGTGCTCTGACGCGCTCTGGTTAGATCAGGTCGTCGTTTATTCAGACCCGAGCCCCCCGATTCCTTGGCACTCCTGCCGGCATCTTTGCCTTTTGACCCCACCTCGGGCCGGGTGCAGCCAGAGGGCCACACCCGTGAGGCCACAGGAAGGACTTTCCCAGGCTTCGCTCTCAGCACAAATTTAAAAAGTGTGTGTGCGCCGCTTTCGTTTTCTTCTTTAAATGCGAGAGCTACCCCACCCCTCTTTTCCCTCTTCTGCGGTTCCTGAATTTCTCGAGGGCTCCTGTCACAGTTCGGGGAATGTGTGTGTGGAGATGGGGTGGGACGTGTGATTAAGGAGCGTTTGAAAGGCTAGGCTGGAGGCATGAGTGTGTGGAAACTTCCTTTCCAGGGCAGGATATTTGAGAACTTGGCATCTGGTAGTTGCATGAGATGATGTAGGAGCGAGGCAAGAGTAGCATTTTGGAAAATTTTGCTAAAGAGGGGCAGGAAATCAGGAAGAGGCCTTATCTCCTGCTTTTCTGGAGTCAGATGACTCACCCAGCTCTGTTTTGAGACGATTATTTTCCATATGCATTGAAATGATGTCTAAGTTCTAAAGGCAAAACTTATATTTTGATTTACTCAACCAGAAACATTTAGTACCAGAGGCTGCAAATACTTCCTACAGCATAGAAACTACTGTATGGAAGTTTGGTAGGAAAGTTGGTCTCTTTCTCAATTTTTTTTTTTTTTTTTTTTAATTTTTTTTTTTTCAACGTTTATTTATTTTTGGGACAGAGAGAGACAGAGCATGAATGGGGGAGGGGCAGAGAGAGAGGGAGACACAGAATCGGAAACAGGCTCCAGGCTCTGAGCCATCAGCCCAGAGCCCGACGCGGGGCTCGAACTCACGGACCGCGAGATCGTGACCTGGCTGAAGTCGGACGCCTAACCGACTGCGCCACCCAGGCGCCCCTCTTTCTCAATTTTTAAGACCCAGTGCTCTACCATTTCTTCCAGGGTCCTTCATTATATGCACCAGTGATAATAGTGTGTGCATCTCTATTACTGAATTTCTCTGGACAGTAAACAGAAAAGTCCAAGAGCTACACTCATGGGTTCATGCTGCTTCTCTGGTGAATGGATGACAGTATCATAGAGACTAAGAGTAGACAATATTGGAAGTGAATGAGCTGTGCACAGATTGTTCAACTCCTTGACCGTATCGGTAAAGATCTTTGCCAACTATACTTTAAACAGGGCAACTCCAAAGGGCCTGCAGAAAGCATGACTTTGCTTCCTGAATGAGGAAGGTAAGTTTTTCCTTGGATCCCACGTGAGGTCAGTAGCAGTCTGTGAAGCCCTGCTTTGCAGGGAGTAGGCTGATATTCCCCCCCATTTCAAGTTGTTGGAACTTGTCCTTCAGAACAAGAAAGGAGAGCAAGCCTTTCATTAATCTGTACTGCAGATGTCTCAAGCAGTGCTTCTTTTGATTGTAAAGGTCAGCAAATAGTTTGAGCACCTTCGGTAATTAGACTGGCTGGCCACTGCTGTTGCAAAGATGAATTTTAGACAACAGTCCCTTCTCTCGAGAAGCTCACACAGTAGTAGGAACAGCAGATTCATGAATAGTGATTACCTACATGGCAGCATTCTTAGGATATTGCTGGAGCACTGAAGGGGTCACCTAACCCCGCTTCCTAGAGTTGGTGCCTGGCTGGGTCTTAAAAGATGAGTAGATGTTACCTCAGTGAGGAAGAAGGAGGGAGCAGAGCAGCAGTGATGCAGGAAATTCTTAATGTTTCTGCTGAGTGAGGCTCTGGTAGGAGTGTTAGAGTGACTCAGGCCACCATAAACCTTCCAGAGCTTGCTTGGCCCTGGGCCTATGGCTAGGGGTCTAGACTCCAGGACCTGCAGGGTCTGAGGCCAGTGATATTTAGTGCAGTGAGCTAGATTTAGGACTGGAGGGGATGCTGGGGAGAGCGGTGGACTACAGATTACGTGCTTCTTCTGAAGAGGGCAGCTACCATTCGGCTCCAGCAGGTGGATATTATATGGCGGTGTAGGCACAGAATTGCCAGGTCTCCTTTTTTGAAATGTGAAGCCAGAATCCATCTTTTTATCATGTCAACTAATTCAAAACTTTTTTCGAAAGGGTCCTGCTGATTCACAGAAACCCCATTTAAAGGTTGGAGTAGGCCACCAGGAACAAATTTTGGGTGTGAATGAGGGAGAGCCATTAAGGAGTTTAGACATAAGTACCAGTCACTGCGGCTACTGTATCAGGATGAATTATAGGCTCAGATCTGGGGCAGAAATACCAGCTATTGCAGAACTGTAGGCAGAAGATGTTGAGAGCCTGAATTGGAGCAGTGGTGGCAGGGATGGAGAGGAAGAGCTGCATTTGGGAAGTGTTTGTGAGATCAGGTAGGCGTGCTTTGGGGATTGGACAATGGAGGTGAGAGACTGGAAGGAGCCAAGGCTGAGGTGACTGAAGATGGCATCACCTGCAGCCAACACGGGCAGTGTAGGAAGAGTTGGCAAGGAGCAGAGAGGACTGTATCTGGTTTAGGACAGGTTAGTGTGGAATGTCTGTTGAACATCCTCGCGGACATGACCTTGAGGCGGTTGGGTAGGCGGATCCGGAGCTCAGAGGAGGGGTCCGGGCTGGGGGTTTTGTCGTTGAAACTGTGTTGGGGTGGGAGGCTATCAAGAAAGAGCTGTCATCAGCCTTTTTCTTTCGTTCCTAACCACTTGTTCATTGAACACAATCCCTTCTCACAGCATTTTTATTCTTGGTGAGGGCATTCATTAAATAACTAAGTGATAGATTATTTCGTTTTAGTTGTGGCAAGGGTTGTGAAGGATGGGTCCTAGAGACCATGGAAGGGAAGGCCTGGCCTGGTGGGGAGCGTCAAGGAAGACTTCCTGAGGAAGGGACTCTTGAACTGGGCTGAGAAGGGTAAGAAGTCACTAACAAGATGAGGAAAGTGACAGGGAAGGGTTTTTTCAGTCAATTTTCAGGTTCCTGAGGGCAGGAAGGAGTATCCTGCTTTTGAAGCACTGAGTGAAAGGTGCTAAAACAGGTGGGCAGGACTTTGACTATGCAGGGACCTATAAGTGGCAGTAAGAATCGGTCTGTTGTAAGACACAGTTAGGGAGAAGCATGGTTGTTTTATCAAAAGTACATTCATACCAGTATCGCGAGAGCAACTGCAGATGCACAGGTAGGACCCCTGTCCGAGCGGCAGCGATGGTGCAGACGGCAGCCCTGACCCTCTGTGTGATGCTGGCCCCCGCTGAGATGTTAGAGGCAGGGGCATTCCGGAGCCTAGTAGAGAGTTAGATACATGGAACAGGATTTTAAGCAAGTGGGTGATATGACCAGATTTTTAAAATTATTTTAATTTTTTAAAAATTACTTAAAATTATTTTTAAAAAATCACTCTGGTCACAGGAGTGCAAGAGTTAGAACTGTATATTCTCCAGGGTAAAACTGTACTCCTGAATAGAGAAAAAAAATTTAACTAGATTATTCTGTATTTCCTTGTGTTTTCATTTTAGAAATCAGGACCTTTGATATTTAGGAAAACTGTGTTTAACTCTACAGAAATCAGGTTTTCTGGTAAGTACAATAAACTAATAATATTAACATAACAGTACATTATAAATGAATAACCTCATGTAATATAACAAACTGATATGTTACTAAAACTAATATATATTTTAAACTAGGCTAAATACTTGTTTTTAAGTGGTTCTAAAATTTTCAGGGTTTCTTTTGTTTCAGTGAAGACTTGGTTATTTTCAAGAATGCATTTCTCTGATCCTGTCTCAAAAAATGTAATATGAATCGTTCTTTAAAAATTAAAATTAATGTTGGGGCGCCTGGGTGGCGCAGTCGGTTGAGCGTCCGACTTCAGCCAGGTCACGATCTCGAGGTCCGTGGGTTCGAGCCCCGCGTCAGGCTCTGGGCTGATGGCTCAGAGCCTGGAGCCTGTTTCCGATTCTGTGTCTCCCTCTCTCTCTGCCCCTCCCCCGTTCATGCTCTGTCTCTCTCTCTGTCCGAAAAATAAATAAATGTTGAAAAAAAAAAAAAATTTAAAAAAAAAAAATTAAAATTAATGTGTAATAAAGTAGGCTTCTGTGAAATTTGACTCTGAATCCCAGCTTTTAAAACTAGATGAATTCCTTTTATGAGTATATGAAATGTCGTGATTGTGGTAAAGCCTTTATGCCCCTGAAATTTTTACAAATATATCCATCACCATAGAATACAGTAAAAATTACTACATACTAACATTTTAATTAGGATTTTAGAGCTTATGAAAGTGAACTTATTTGTTAGGGACTATGTTCTCTATGTAAATGCCAATGTGTGAGAACTACCAGGTTCTCATACATCTTGAGGTTTTCAAAATATTTTTTTAAATTTTTATGTATATATATATTTTTTTATTGTTTTATTTTGGGAGGAGCAAAGAGAGAAGGAGACAGAGGGTCCAAAGTGGGCTTTCAGCTGACAGCAGCAAGCCCGATGAGGGTCTCAAACTCACGAACCCTGAGATTATGACTTGAACCAAAGTCAGACACTTAACCGACTGAGCCACCCAAGGTTTTCAGTATTTTTGATGAATTTACAGCAGATCATATTTACTGTGGTCCAACTCCTCTTAGTGTTTCCAGTAACTTGACTAGGTAAATTGGCTGCCAAGGTTAAAGTTTTGGCATAAGGAGTAGTTTTTTGTTGGGTAAAGCAAATTGGCTTCCTGGGGATCCAAAGCCATGCCCCTTTTCTCTATCACAGTACGCTCAGGTCATTTGTTGGGTGATTCTGCTGTATGTCCAGCCATTAGCTAGACAGCAGAGGTGGTTCAAAGCAGTTCATTGATATCCTAGATCATCAGTGGTGATAACAACTTGGTAAGAGGAAATTGAAGTCCAAGGTGGGTGAGGGGAAAAAAAATTGGCATCTAACTGCTTTAGTGAATTCAGATTTCAGTGGCTAGACAAGTAAGACTTAGGAGACTGTTGCAGACAAAAAAAAATTACATGGGGGGGAAAAGTGATATGGACCAGTGAAACACGTAATCTGATTTTAAAAAATCATACCTAATATCTGAGATCAGCTATGAGTAGACCACACTCAAGACAGTGGTATTAATATATCTAAAGAAAGAATGAGGCAGAAGACAGTTAACAGTAAAAGCATAAAAAATATATATGTGAGGGTTTAGTTAAGTAAAGCAGACAGTGTCTAGTAGCACCGGTGAGAGAGAGGTCTTCTTTTTTTTTTTTTTTAATGTTTATTTTTGAGAGAGAGAAAGAGAGATGGAGTATGAGCAGGGGAGGGGCAGAAAAAGAGGGAGACGCAGGTCTGAAGCAGGCTTCAGGCTCTGAGCTGTCACCACAAAGCCTGACATAGGGCTCGAACTCAGGAAGGGTGAGATCGTGACATGAGCCGAAGTCGGAGGCTTAATCGACTGAGCCACCCAGGCGCCCTGAGAGAGAGGTCTTCTTGAGCTGTGACTGTAGGTAGGACATGTGGCTGATAGATGTAGACGTAGTATCCATCTGAGCCTTCATTCTGGTGCCATGCTCATCAAGCAGCTTTCATCACCTTTGGGTATCCAGGAAGACATGCTGAAGGGAGAGAGTTAATCATTACACAACCACTTTACAGTTACTGTTCATTTGAAGCAGTAATTGGACATTCCAGATTATACATCTAAATTGGTGTTGTAATGAAGGAGTGAGAATGAGGCTCTGTGTTCTCACAGAACCAATTTTAATGCCTGCAAAAATCTAAGAATTAGTCCCTTGGATATGTGTCCCTGCCATTTGGTAGATGAGACATCTGACTTTCCTTTAGGCGACCCCTCTTTTGGTAGCCCATTCAAGAGGTAGTCTTGTGGAATTGCTGCTGAAAATCTCTCAATGTTATTCACCCCCTACACAGAATAAAAGAAATATGCTATATAGTCATCTCAATATGTACAGAAAAATATTTGAAAAAATTCAACACCCATTCATGATAAAAACTCTTAGAAAACTAGAAATAGAAGGAACTTCCTTAAGCTGGTAAAGACATCTATGAAAACTCTGTAGCTACCGTTATACTGTCTGTTTTCCCCAGATTGGTCTATAAATTCAGCTAATTTCAATCAAAATCCAAGCTGACTTTTATGTAGAAATTGACTAGCTGTATCTAAAATTTATATGCAAGTGCAAAGAACCTAGAATAGCCAAAGCAATTTTAGTAAAAGAACAAAGTTGGAAGACTTACTATTTTATTTCAAAACCTACATAAAGCTTCAGTAACTGTAGCAGTGTGGTACTAGCATAAGGATAGATACATAGAACAATGAAACAGATCAGAGGGGTGCCTGGGTGGCTCAGTGGGTTAGGCGTCCGACTTCTGCTCAGGTGATGTTCTCATGGAGCATGGGTTTGAGCCCCATGTCAGGCTCTGTGCTGACCCCTCAAAGCCTGGAGCCTGCTTCAGATTCTGTCTCTGTCTCTCTCTGCCCCTCCTCCACTCATGCTCTGTGTCTCTCTTTCAAAAATAAATAAATATTAAAAAATTAAAAAAAAAAGATCAGAGAGCCCAGAAATAAACCCACATTTATGAGGTCAGTTGCTTCTCAACAAAGATGCCAAGATAATTCTTTAGAGAGAGAATAGTCTTTTCAATAAATGATGCTGGAACAACTGGATATCCACACTGAAAAAAATCTCATCTTTTACATTGGATTATGGATTTAGATACTCTGTCCCCACTTCCCTGTCCTCCCTCTCTGGGGCTCAGTTTGCATATACGTTAGACTGCTTTATATTGTCTCACGGATCACTGAGGCCTTGTTAATTTTTTTTCAGTCTCTTTCTGTGCTTCATTTTGAATCTTTCTATTGCTTTGTCTTCAAATTCAGTGATCTTTTCTTCTCCAGTATTTAATCTCCTGTTAGTCTCATAAAGTGAACTTCTTACTTGGATATTGTAATTTTTTTAATCCCTAGAAGTTTGTTTTTTAATATCTTCTTTCTCAATATCTTCATATTTTCCTTTACATCTTTCAGCATATGGAAAATATTTATAACAGCTTTAATATTCTTCTCTGCTAATCATCTTTGTCCCTTCCATTTTTATCATAATGACTAATCTATCATGATTATGAGTTAGTTTTTCTTTTTCTGTCTAGGGTTTTGGTTGGATGGTGGATATCATGAATGTTAGCTTCTTAAGTGCTGTAATTGTATTTTATAGTTGTATTCCTTTGACTTTGTTCTGGCAGACAGCTGAGTTTCTTTTGGGTGAGTTTGATCTTTTCCAGTTTTGTGTTTAATTTCTTTCAGGATGGATCTGGAGTAGCTTTAACTGTAGGGCCAACTTAGCACCACTTCTAAGATGTGACCCTGCTACATTTCTCCTGAATGCTTGGTGTATTTAATGAGGCCCCTCCACTCTTGCTAGTGGAAACTCAAACAGTTACGAGCCCTGTATGACCTCTGAGAGTGATTGGGCTTCTTTCTATGCATGGGCTGGCTGCCATGCAGGCAGGCTCAATAGTATCTCTGTCCAGATTTCTTTTACTCTCTCTCTCTGTGCAGGTTCCAGCTCTTGAGTATTCTCCCCCAGAAATTCTACCAGCCTCAGCTTCTTGAACTGCAGTCTCGGGGCTCAGTTTGGATTCCTTCTGGTTACCAGTGGTTCCCTTCTGGTTCACAGTGATCCCAGCCTCCTGGTATTCATGTCCTTATGTAGTCCCCTACCATATTGTATCAAGGTTGGTCTAACCAAGAAATATGATAGAGCTAATGGCATATCACTTCTGAAACTAGGTCGTAAAAGATACTGTGGCTTCTTCTTTGCTCTTTCTCTCTGATGGCCTATTCTGTGGGAAGCCAGCTGCCATGTTGTGATGACACTCCCAAAAGAGCTCTTCCTAATTCTAGACTTAATCCTTTTCAGTCTGTCTAATCACGTTACCCTCCTACCTGAAATATTTGGTGTTACTTTGTAACATTCAAAATAAAGGAAAACTCCTTAGCAAAGCATAGTACCCCTTATGACTTTTCTCCAGCTCTCTACTCCAGCTTCAGCTCTTCTCTCTTTCCCCAATCTGTGTTCTGACCATAGCAAACTATTTTCAGGTGGTCATACTCATGCCTGCTCTCACATACCCTGCCCTGAGCATTTGCATATACTGTTTCCACCCTCCTCATCACCTAGCTAACTCCTGCTCTTCACATTAGAGGTCTCCTCCACCAGTAAGCCTGTCAGCACCCCTTCTTTATGCCCTCCTAGACTATGCTAGGTGCCCTGCTCAGGGCTCCTCTGACTCCCTGTTCTCAGCCCCTTATTCTGTCTAAGGTGCCTACTTAACTGTTATTCCTCCCCTGCCCAATACCTCTAATATCAAGGACAGGGGTTGTTTTCGTTTACCATTATGTCTCTTTCTGGCACACAAGGGGTGCTCACTCAGTATTTTTTGAATGAATAAGTTAGTGAAGAGAAGAGTTTAGAGTGCGGTGAGCAGTGACTTAGCATATTCCGTTACTCAGTTGATTTTAATGCTGGATTTAACGTACAGATTAAATGAATAGTATTTGGTTAACTATAATAATTTAATTTAATGAACTTATCTCATTTTGCAGTGATTTTGGGAGAAATTAGGTAATATTTTATTCATTGTTTCATTATAGTAACCTATTTTAAGTTGCATTCTTGAAACCTGAAAGCTTACATAGGAGTACATATAGGATTGTTGTACAATAAGACTTTCTTTTTTCTAAACAGTTAAGTCATTCAGTTGTTCTGGGCCTGTGAAGTTTACCATCGAGTGGTATTTGAAGTATCATACGTGTCAGAATGAATATTCTAAGCTGGAGGTAAGTAAAATGCAAAATTTTAAGGTACGTAAAGCTATGAAGGAAAAATTATGAGTATAAAGATTTATTAGCTCATCAGGTGAGGAGGCCAGAAATGTGGATTGTAGTTTTAAAAGTGCCACAGATTTATTTTGGGACTTAGGCAAGAAATGTTTTAATTTTATCAAAGTATATACCTTCTGAGAAGGAAACAAATCTTTTAGTTTCCTTTTTGTCTTGAGAGAAATGTTAGTAAATATTTAAATCAGTCATGTTGGAACTGTAGATAAAGATGTTGTGGGTCACATACAAATAAAAATCAACATAGTTTAAGAAAGAAATGTGAAAGTTTTACTTCATTCAAAAAGTTAGTGACAGGACACCTAGAACTTTAGTGAAGTCAGGTAGCTTTAGTGAGTAGAAGTAGATCTCCCAAAGAGGTGAGGGGAAAGGAGACCCCCCCACCACCACCCACCCCTGCCAAGGAAAGAAGGGGGAGGGTGTAAGAAGAGGAAATAGGCCCCACTGGGTTTCTTCTTCCCCTGCAGGGTCCACTGGGCTCAGCAAGGTGTTCTCCTGTGGACACCTGATGGTTGCTCACAGTCATTTCCGTCGCGGCTTCTCTGTTGTTTGTGTGCTCCTAGCATGAATCGTGTGCATTTCCATGCTTTTATCTGTATTGTCTTTCCATTTGGGGTGAAAGGTGCCATTGTCCTCAAATATTGCCTTTGTGACTTTATTCCCTGTTATTTCACCCCTACATACTAAATACTTCAGTGTGTCCTGGGATGCCTGGGTGGCTCAGTTGGTTGAGCGTCTGACTTCAGCTCAGGTCGTGGTCTCGCAGTTCGTGAGTTTGAGCCCGTGTCACGCTCTGTGCTGACAGCTCAGAGCCTGGAGCCTGCTTCAGATTCTGTATCTCTGTCTCTCTCTCTCCCCCTCCCCTGCTCATGCTCTGCCTCTCTCTGTCTCTCAAAAATACATAAATGTTTAAAAAAAAAAACAAAAACACTTCAGTGTGTTTCCTAAGAACAAAGGTGTTCACTTAGCTTGCACAGTGCAGTGATAAAATTGAGGGAATTTAACATTGATACAAAATTATTATCTAACAAACAGATCTTATTAAAGTTTTGCCGGTGTTCCCAAAACATCCTTTTTGGCAGTTTGTTGTTATATTTTTTTTTCCTGGTACAAGATCCAATCTAGGGTCACAGTGTATTTCTATAGTGTTTTGTTTTGTTTTTGTTTTTGTTTTTTGTCTTTCACGATATGACACTGATATATTTGAAGTATACAAGCCACTTATTTTTATAAAATGTCCCTCAGTTCCAGCACTTCTGATGTTTCCTCTTGATTAGATTCTGGTTATATTTTTGGCAGGAGTACCAAAGAATTCAGGTTTGTCCCATTTTTGGTAATGATAACTTTTGATCTGTTGGTTAAGGACATTTCTGCCAGGTTTCTCCACTGTAGAGTTACGACTGTTCTCTTTGTTGTTAACAATAACTTGTGAAGAAGTACTTTTGTACTTGTGTGTGAATATCCTGATTTTTCATCAGTTCTTGTCTGAACATCCTTTGACTCTTGCCTGATGAATCAGCTATTGCTCTGATAATTGCTTAGTGGTGATTTTCTAATTCCATATTTCCTTCTGCTTTGTTAACATTCTTCCATGAAGATGAGCCTGTTCTTTTCCTCTTGTCTTACCTGTCAGTCACCTGAGCAGTCATCAGCATGGACTCATTGAATTTTACTTTGTTAGATGGGTTATAATCTGTTACTATTTTGTATTTATTTGGCTCAAACTGTTTCCTACTGGCCAGTCGAAACCAACTTGACCTTTTATTGATGACTAGAAGCTGCCATTAGGAGCCTGGTTTTATTCATCTGTCTTTGGTTTATCTTTCCTTATGGTTAATTTTTTTTTTTTTAACGTTTATTTATTTTTGAGACAGAGAGAGACAGAGCATGAATGGGGGAGGGGCAGAGAGAGAGGGAGACACAGAATCAGAAGCAGGCTCCAGGCTCTGAGCCATCAGCCCAGAGCCCGACGCGGGGCTCGAACTCACGGACCGCGAGATCATGACCTGAGCTGAAGTCGGAGGTTTAACCGACTGAGCCACCCAGGCGCCCCTATCTTTCCTTATTGTTAAATGCTGCTTTTCTTTGTAAAATCTTTTTATACATGGGATAAAATGAAAGTAGCCTCAGGACAAAATATTTTTTATTTCTCCGTGAACCATCTCCTGCGATAATACCGTATCACCTTTCTTCCTGTAAGATTATACTTGCATTATGTGTTACTGTATCTGAGCATATTGGAATGGCTAACATGTCATGATAACTTCATCATACTTAAAATTATATTTAAAACATTTTTCTTGGGACGCCTAAGTGGCACAGTCGGTTAAGCATCTGACTTTGGCTCAGGTCATGATCTCACAGTTCGTGAGTTTGAGCCTCGCGTGGGGCTCTGTGCTGACAGCTCCGAGCCTAGAGCCTGTTTCAGATTCTGTGTCTCCCTCTCTCTCTGCCCCTCTCCCACCCTCCCCCATCTCTCTCTCAAAAATAAACCTTAAAAAAACACTTAAAAATGTTTTTCTTTTCAGTATTTTGTTCTGCATGTTTTTAAGTGCTCCAAACTGAATAAATCTTTGATATCATTTAGATGTTAAGTTTTACTTATCTTCCTGAGTAAGAAGCGTGGAAACAAATTATAACCCAGAATTTTGCCTTGAGTAGGAGGAGCTATCACAAAAACATGAACCTAGCGTTGATGAAGACTTTTGTGGTCATTATTTCAAGAACGTTGAATGTTGGACAACAAAATATGAAAACGTAAATTGCAACAGTGACTTACAGGTGTTTCCCTCATTGAATGTGAGTATATGTGTTGTCAAAGTAGAATTTACTGTACTCCCACTGAATACAAGTAGTAACTTACATTCTATTCTGTCAACATTTTGATAAAAGAAAGGTGCTTAATTAGTTATTTTTAGGTTAAGTTCTTTTGAATGTGTGGTAGTAGGTAATAAGTAAGGTACTGGCACCGTTGTTCCATTTCTTTGTACCCCTTTGCAGCAACACTCTTGAAAAAGAGCCGTTTTGTCTTCCTATCCTGATCTGTTGTCAGTTCATCTGTCACTCTCTCTTGTTTCCACTCCAGTCCTACCTTTGCCCCCGTTACTCCATCAGAACAGCTAGTCAAGGTTCCCAGTGACCTCCATGTGAGATCTGGTGGTCTCTTAGTCTTACCAAAGGTCTGCCGGCCTTCTTGACTTATCACACTTAACCTACTTGAACATGTCCCCTCCCTTATGCACTTACTTCCCTCCCTGTCTGGAATATTAGATCCCAAAATGTTGATAGCACTCATCCATGAGTTGTGAGGCTGTGGGTCATTTTATCTTATTTTTGTTCTGTAAATTCTGAAATGAAAATATATCTTTGGTAAAAATAGTAAAGGGTTCTTAAAATGTGTATTGAGGTGTGATAAATGTAAAGTGTACGTATCAGGAGTGGATGGCTTGATGAATTTTCAGAACTTGAACACACCAGTATAGGCCCAGATCAAGTACAGAATATTTTAGCACCTAGACTCCCCTTTTAGTTCCTAATACCTTCCCCACCAAAGGTAGCCACTATCTTGATTTAAAAAATAATTTTTCAGTGGGGCGCCTGGGTGGCTCAGTCGGTTGAGCATCTGACTTCGGCTCAGGTCATGAACTTGAGGTTCATGAATTTTGAGCCCCATGTTGGGCTCTGTGCTGACAGTTCAGAGCCTGGAGTCTGTTTCAGATTCTGTGTCTCCCTCTCCCTCTGTTCCTCCCCCACTTGCATCTGACTCTCTTGTCTCTCAAAAATAAATAGATTAAAAAAACTTTTTTTTTAATTTTTTTCAAAAGCAGGATTTTGTTACTCATGTTTGGGCTACAAAGAGATGTGTTCTTTGGTGTTTAGCTTTCAAATCTTTACTTTTCTCATAACATATTTTTTTCTTGATTGTTAAGACAGCTTTTCCCCCATAGAAATGCAGCAATATAAAATGGAATTATGTTGTTTGTTTTTCCAGAATAAGGAACTAATTACAAATATCAGAAATGTTTCCAACCAGGAAGGATCAACAGTAAGTCATTTTATTTGTCTTTAAATCAAATGTATACAAGTTCTAGTAAGCCTGAAAAGAATAGATACTTGGACAGTGATATACAGTAGGGTTATTAGAAGTGGGGAAGAAAAAAGAAGCGTTATATCAAATAGTATATTTTTGTGTGTATCTATATGAATTTTGTATGTATTTGTTTCTGTCTTTGTTTAAAAATTCCTTTTAGGTTGTAACTTAAGGTTAACTTCTTTGCAGCCTTTTTTCAAATGCCTAGCATAGCAATGGGCTGGTCTGGATCATCATTGAGGATGGAAATAAATAGATAGAGTCCATGAGTGTAGCACCGGGGAGGAGAGAATTTGGTATTTGGGGGAATTCTGAAAGTCACAAGACCAAGAGGTGGGGAGGGTTGGAAGCAGCTGTGTGTAGGGACTGAAGACAGGTTTAGGAGAGCTTACTTTGCTTTTATCTTGTCATCCTTCGTGTTTCCAGCTTTGCACAGGCTGTGTCTCAGGTGGAGGAGTAGGAAATGAAAGGGAAAGATAGGAAGTCTTCTGGAAGGATGTATGTGAAAAGTTTGATTCAGTTATGTGGGGGCATTGTGGCGTTCACAAGCATTACACTGAGCAGTGTCCTTTCCCGGCAGGACTGCTAGTAACATAGATCTTAATAAGTAATTGAACCTATGTACCAAATCTGTGCAGTCTCTCTAACAATGTTATCTGACTTCTAACTCCCCCAGTTCAGTTCAAAACCACACCCATTTAAAAACTGAATGCTTGAGGGGCGCCTGGGTGGCTCAGTCAGTTGAGCCTCTGACTTCAGCTCAGGTCACGATCTCACGGTTCGTGAGTTCAAGCCCCGCATCAGGCTCTGTGCTGATGGCTCAGAGTCTGGAGCCTGCTTTGGATTCTGTGTCTCCCTGTCTCTCTGACCCTCCCCCGCTTGCACTCTGTCTCTCAAAAATAAATGTAATAAAAATTAAAAACTGAATGCTTGATATTAGGATAAAATGTGGGAAGGGTAATATTAGGAAAAAATATTTGAATGGTAATATTGAGTAAAACATAGAATGGTAACATTCAGGGGAAATTCTTTAGAAATACTGAAAGTAGAAAAATTGAAGAGTAGAAAAAGCTTTTTCCTCTTCCATTGCTTTGGTTCTGAGAGGCCCATGGTGAGAAAACAGTGAGGGAAATCCTTCCAGTGTCCACTGTCCCTCCACTACCTACCATTTTTTTTCATTGTTTCAAAAGACTGAAAAGTGGGCCACCTGGGCAGCTCAGTCAGTTAAGCAACCGACTCTTGGTTTTTGGCCCAGGTCATGATCTCACGGTTTGTGAGTTTGAGCCCCATGTTGGGCTCTGTGCTGACAGCAAGGAGCCTGCTTAGGATTCTCTCTCTACCTGCCCCCCTCTGCCCCTCCCCTGCTCATTTTCTCTCTCTCTCTCAAAATAAATAAACTTTAAAAAAATTTGAAACAGTGAAAAGTAACCCAATTCAGTTACTAAAAGTTGTTTTAAAATGTGGTGAACAATTGTTTATATTTTCTATAGCAATTTTTTAAAACAACATAAAGGATATATTTTTTTTCCTGTTTCAGGATGTGATAGCCAGAACACAGAGAGATGGGTTTCATATATTTATTGTTTCTGTGAAAACGGACAAAACAGATGCAAGATGGAATTTGAATGGTATATTTAAACTGCATGCGTGTTTGCTGTCTGCTTTTACTGTATTCTGTGTTTCTGTCATTGACCCAAATCTACATTTTTTGGTTAAAATACATCATTGAAAAACAAATCTCTGTGAATCACAAAAACAAATGACCTGTTTATCTGGGGGACTTAAAACTTTTTGCTTATCTTACTATTATATGTTTTAATGGATTGGAAATTTAAAATTAAGATAAATTTTTAAAATTTCAAACTCCAGTGGGATATAATAAAATTCTTTATCCTTTCAGATTAAAAAAAAAATTCCTAATATAGAGATGGCTAGGCAACATTTTAATTGTATTTGAAGTAGATTATATTCTATATCAGGAAAATGGCCATCACCAGGCGTTTAAAATTCTCATTTTAAAGCATCTGTCTGTAGCTTAGGAGTAGAAGTAGCCTGTCTGGCAATGATAGCTTCTGTGGTCTGTGAGCTCTGCCCACTCCTCACCCCCAATGCAAGAGTGGGCTTACAATAAGCAATCTTCAAGGGACTGAATGCTTTCACAGATCGTAGAATTGCTTCGGCTGTCGTTTTGCAGAGTAGTGTCTGTTGGACCAGTGGTAGCCAAACAGCATGTGAGGATCCTGCTCTGATTCACCCACTGGGGACACAGGTGTGAAGCCAGGCTTTGCCTTTGAGAATTGCCCAGTCCAGCGGGGAGGCAGAAAGTACTGAGGGGACATAGGCGTTGCTTCAGAGGAGGCACAGAACTGGTGTACTGCAGGGGAAGCTGGTGGAGGTGGCTGCTCTGGACGAGTGGGCCGTGGGGCTTCCTCCCACAGATGACATAGTGGGCCAGATAAGAGCCAAATAAGAGAGCTGCCACCTGGACTTGTGTGTCCCCCCACAACCCCCGGCTTCCCAGGTATTGCGTCTTTTTCCCTGATAGCAGCAGGCAGTTTTAAGGCCCTACTAGTTAGTAACAGAAGCAGTTACTGAGCTCTGCAAGTCTTGTACTTTATTTGGCACTCTGTTTATTATTGTCACCTTGGACAATGACCCAAACTAGATGCTTGAATTCAGTAATTTATCCCCAGTTACAGTAAGGAAGACAAAGTCCTCAGTGAGGTCAGCGACTCAACATGGGGCCAACCTAAGGCCGGTACTGCTTTACTGTCTGCATAAGATCAGATTTGGCCCAGGTTTTACAACAGCATGTATACAAGTAAAGGTATCTTGGTAAGATTACATGTTAATGACTGGTAATTAGCCAATACATTGTATGTCTTAGGTAAAAATGCAGATTTGTCGGCTTGGTGTGTGTTCTTGGAACCTTCTGGGAATGAGCTTACGTTTAAAAATATAAGAAAAGACTGATTGGTAATTTAATTCTTTGATGTCTTTATCCCCATCTTCACCAGTTTCTCTTTCTATGATCGGGCCTCATGGATATATTTCTGCGTCAGATTGGCCACTAATGATTGTGAGTATTTCTCATCATTTTTTCCTTTTTTAAAAATGAATTTTATATCCTAATTGGAAAATCTAACAACTTAAAGAGCTCAGTGGTGGTATCCCTTAGTAGCTAATACTTTGGTATACCCTCTGTTTTTGGCTAGAGTGACAGGGAAATAAAAGACTGGATACTTGAATGAAGAGATGTCCATTTTCAAGTGATCACAAGCCTTAACTGACTAAAATTGCTCTTCTTCCTACAGTTTTACATGGTGATGTGTATCGTTTATATTTTATATGGCGTACTGTGGCTGATGTGGTCTGCCTGTTATTGGAAAGATATATTAAGAATTCAGTTCTGGATTGCAGCTGTTATTTTCCTGGGAATGCTTGAAAAAGCAGTTTTTTATACTGAATATCAAAACATCAGCAGCACTGGGCTATCAAGTAAGCTGTGACTCTCTCCATAAATACTATATGATCCAAGAGGCCCCTAGCATTTGTGAGCAGAGCTGCGGGAGGCCTCCTTTGTACAGTGATTTGGGAACAGTTGCATTATAGATGAAGACGACAAGAGCCAAGATGAGAACGTGAGAGTAGGACTCTGATCTAGGCTAGCGTCTGTATTGTCCTCATTTTCCATTTCCCTTCTTTCCCTCACTTTCCTCCTGGGGAAAAGAAAACTCCCACTTCAGTGATTGGATTAAATCAATAAAAGTTCCAGAGGGGGGCACTTTAGGTGCTACTGATCCTTTTAACATATTTCTCTGTCATTTTCCCATACTCTTCCTTCTCCTTTCTCCTCCACAAAAGAAAAGAAGGAAAATCTGACCCCACGCAGTAAAATCAGTAGTTCTGGGATGGATGTGCCTGCAGCCTTCTTGTGTTCTCTCTGTCTCTTCGTTCTCACACAGAACTTCATGTGACCACTGGAGGCCCCTCAGAGTTTACACAGGGAAGTGTGTGAATCAGAAAGGGCAGGAAGGCGGGCATCCTCAGATGTGTGCCCCAGGTTTCTAGAAGGTGGAATGCAAAAAGGCCAGAGAGGTAAAGGTACAATCCCATCACCCAGCCTTTGAAAAGGGAGGTAGCTCCAAAGGGATGAAAGCACTCAGGAGTGATCAGTTCTGAGTGATCAGCTAAAATGATCTTTGTGCAGATTTTTATAGGGTGTGATTATGTCGGCTATTTATTTTTATAATACTCCAGAAAAAAAGAAGAGTGAGTTGGAATGTAGATGAAACAGATTTGCCCTAATGTTGATAATTATTGAAGCTGAGTATTGGGCACATGGGAGTTCACTATACTGCTTTTTCTGTGTTGGGGAATGTTTGTAATTTCCCAAAATAAAAGGGTAGGTACAAAAGAAGAAAGAAAAGACAAACATTCAAGGAGGCACATTAGAGGTATTATTATTCTATAAGAGGTTTTAGTGGTGTGTGTGTGTGTGTGCGCGCGCGCGCACGCGCGCATGCGTGCACGTGTGTGCTCTAAATAAAATAATGAAGGAGGGGTGAGGCTGCTGCTCCTGGCTGGAGAGTAAAGCATTCTTGAATGTGAAATAAGGCAGTTCAGCTCCTTTGCTCTGAGTGGTGATCCTCTCTTGCCTAGGGAGCATTGAGGGTGGCTTGAACTTCAGTGGGGAGCCACAGAAGCTCTTGCCATCCTCACGGACTTCAAGCCCTGTGTCTGAGATGACACGAGAAAGGCTTGGGAGAGAAGCCCCAGGCTGCTGTCAGCGTCTTTGAGGAGTCCTGTGAGAGGGACAGGTGCCAGACGACATGGCTGTTGCTCTTTCTGATTTTCCCAAGTGGGAATTCTGTAACCCAGGCTGTCTTGCTTAGCACTGATCCTGCAGGGACAGGAAACAGTGATTGTTAGGACCCAACACGGGGGCCTTAAGAATAGGTCATATCAGATTGACTTCTTTTGTGCTTCTAAACTTAGTATACCTGGACTTCTTCAAGGTATTTGACAACTTTGATTTCTTGTGGACAAGATGGAGAAATGTGCACTGAAAACTGGCTGTGCAGCCATATCTAAAGAGCCCGTGCACATAAGCACCCATCAGTCTTGTCAGTGTAGAGCTGTGTCGTCCAGTGTGGTGGCCATCAACCACATCTGGCTGTTTAAATTAAGTGAAGTTAGCAGTTTATTTCCTCAGTTGTACGTGCTCAGTAGCCACATATGACCATTGATTACTGTATTGGACAGCATGGATGTAGAACATCTCCATCATCCTGGAAACTTCTGTTGGACAGCACCGGAGCAGTGGTTCTCATCCCTGGCTGCACATAAGTGTCCCTTGAAGAACTTTCAAGCAATACCAGTGCCAGAGATTCTGGTTGAAGTAGGCCTAAGAATTGGTTCTGTTGAGAGGCTTCCCATATGATTCTAGTATGCATCTAGGATTGAGAACCACTGGGTTAGAAGGGGGCCTTGAATGACACCTGTCTCATAGGTTTTAGACCTTGTGGCTGGTTTATCCTAAGTGTTATACCTAACATTTATTGCAGGCCTGTGCATATGTAGAGAGCATTCACTAAAATTCTGTGGATGATGTGAGGCTGGTGGAGTTGTTCATACTGGGGTATAGAGAATAATTTTAGATGGACCCTTCTCACGTGAAGGTACTTGAAGGGGTGCAGACAGATTTGACATCCCAAATGGAAAGGTAAAACCTAATAGGTAAGACCTTGAACTTGGGGTTCAAGTATAAATTGAAAAAATATAAATGGGAAACTTTTCTAAAGGATTTAAAGGTTGAAGCTGATGAGTCAGCTTAACATAGACAGTTATAGGCAGTTGTGCCTCCCACTAGCTCCTACAGCGTTAGGTTACAGCAGGGGGGCTAGCAGTCAAGACATTGAGAAGGTCCACCTGCCAGGAAGGTTGTATTCACTTTATTCCAAGAGGGAAATAGTCCAGACTGAGCAGCTCACGAAGGGATTTGAAAACACGCTACCCTTAAACATTTGTTATCCTAAACCTCTTCACATTCTGCATCCGCTCTTGGGGAGTTCATCCATTGTTTTCTTCTTAAAGTTCAACTTCCTGGCCAGATGTCTGTCCTGAGCTGCAGACCTAGTAACTGGTCACCTGCCAAACATCTTCTGAATGCCTTGCATTCATCTCTGTAGGGCATAAAAGAAACTCACCTTTCCCACCCTTGTACTTTTGACTCACTTTAGTCCCAACCTAATGCTCCTGCAGGTATTCCTGTCGGTGGATGGCCCTGCCAGTTGACCTTGGTGCCATCCTTTTTGCCACCCTCTCCCTCTCCCTCTAGTTCCACATCTGTCTACAAGGCATTTGATGAGGTCTCTTGTGATTTCTTGTGGACAAGTTGGAAAATTGTGAGCTGAAAACAAGACTAAGTAGGTGGATTCACTACTTGTTTCTGTATATCTTTCTGGTTCCTTCCATCTTCCCTGCCAGCACTGTGCTCTTATCGTCTCTTACCTGGATTTCTGGAATGACTTCCTGAGCATTTTCCTTGCTGGTAGTCTCGTTCCTCTCCAAGCCATTAAGTAGAGCAATCTTGATAAAATCAAGCTGTCAGTTTTATTCCAAGAGTCAGCAAACTTCTTGTGCAAAGGCCATATGGTAAATATTCTTGGCTTTACAGGCCATATGGTCTCTGTTGCTACTACTCAACTCTGCCATTATAGCACAAAAGCAGCCACAGTCAACACGTGAACAAATGGGCGTGGCTCTCTTCCAGTAAAGCTTTATTTACAAAGACAGATGTAGGGCCAAATTTGACCTGTGGGCTATAGTTTACCAATTCCTTTTTTACTCCCTTGTTTACAGTCATTGACTTCCCACTGCCTTCACATAAAATCCAGATTCATAACATGGCCTAACCACCCTGCGTGATTGTCCCTGCCTCTGTCACCAGCCTCTTTTTTTGATATCCCCCATTACACTCTCTGCTACAGATACACTGAACTTTGATTTCTTGCAAAGTATTTTACTTTTCATCTTTTCTCCTCCATGCCTTTTCATGTGCCATTTATTTTGCTTTTCTCTTATTCCCCCCAAATGTTTAACTTTTAATAGGCCTTCAAATCCTGACTTAGATGTTGCTTCCTCTGAGAAGCTTTTCTGAACCCACTTGCACCTCCCTCAAGTGTGGATTCAGTTGGCTTCTTCATAGTCCTGGGAGATGCTGTGTTGCCTCTAGCACTCACCACACTGAGTTCTGTGTATTTACTTGTCCTCACCAGAGTAGCAGCTTCATGAGGGCAGGGATCATGGTGTCTCTTTTCCTATTGTAGCCACACAGTAGGAGCATAAATAAATAAATGATGAAGGCATCCTGGAGAAAAGAAAATTCTAGAGGACCTTATGGTTTTCAAATATTTGCAATACAGAAAGTTCTTTATAACCTCAAGGGGAAGAACAAGAACAGAGGGAAGCTGGGGGAGATTTTAGATTGATACAAGACTGAGGTTTTCAAACATCAGTTGGATTAGATGACCTTTAAAGCAAATAAGGCTAATTCGTCTGGAGTCAGAATGTACTTAATATACAGTACATCTTTAGAATCTTGGTGGCAGGCCTCTAGATGTACACAGAATGAATTCTTTTCTTTCTTCCCCTCAGCCCAAGGTTTATTGATATTTGCGGAGTTGATATCTGCGGTTAAGAGGACATTGGCTCGCCTCCTTGTGATCATTGTGAGCTTGGGCTACGGCATTGTGAAGTAAGTATTGGCGTGTTGGAAAGATACCGAGCTTCCAGTCTTGTAACTCCTTCCACTACATTATGAGCTCTGTGAAACTGGACACTTCTTAGTACTGTGATACAAGCCCCGTGGGGAAATACCAGTGAGGACGTGTTTTCACGGGTCCTCCATGTACTGGCCACTTGACACTGTGCTGAAATAAAGATCTTGAATTTGAAGTCCAGTGTGGCTTTTTATAGTTAGATGAAGAAGTAATCAACTTTAAGGATAATGGAAAATTTTTAATGATTCTTAAAGTTTAAACCATTTTCTATTTCCTAGACACATGGTTCTGCTTTTACGATTGCACTCAAATATTGTAAAAGACAGAGAGGATTAAGCACCAGGTCAGCAGGATTTCGGACTGAAACCTGGCTGTCCACTGAGGACCCTACTTCTTCCAGGCCCCCTCAGGCTGCCGATCTTTTCTGTCCCATGCCTGTGAGTCACTGCGAATGAACATGGAACAGCTTGTCCTCTTTATCCTTATCGCCTTTTTAAAAACTCTCTAATTCCCAGAAGCTCAAGCTTTTAGCCTGGATTACCTGCTATATCTTCTTACTACAGTCACCTTTTAAGTTCCAGACTTCTCCCTTCATCCCTTAACTCATGGAGTACTTGCTCCCTGACTTTCTCAACACTGCGTGTGTCAGAATTCCCAGTGATTTCAGTTTCTTTGTGGGCGATCCTGTAACTAACCTGAACTCACCCCCTCACCTGCACTGCTCTTACCTGTCCCCTCACCTCAGTTACTGATTCCCACTGCTATTTTCTAGACTTTATTGTTATGTATAACTGTACCCTCTTTACAACTGCAAATTTAAGCAATCCACTTTTCCACTGTCACCTTCTCTGTTTCCTGTTTACTTTTCCTAACACATCAGCCCACTTCATTCTTCGACCTTAGTATAGCCTCTGGCCTTTTGATCCTGCTACCTTCCATTGATCCTTCAGGGTGCTGAACATATGCCCATGTCCACAGCCACGCCATGTGCACCTGAAGCCCTCCGCCTTTCTCTTGGCCAACCTCCCTTGACAAATCCAGCTTTCCATCTGCTTCAGGCTCCTACTGCAGAAGCAGAATCTGCCTGAGAAGAACACCCAACCATACTGCAGGCTCGTGTCGCTTCATGACCCGGAACTTTCAAGTGCGTCCTTAGTGTCCCTGGTAGTTCTTCTAGACCCCCTTGCCAGTCTCTGGCCCCTTTCCCACTGTGCAGAAGACTGTTATGACTGTTCTCTCCCCTCCAGCCTCAGATTCCCTACTCGTATCTGTCTTACCTGATCTTGGTTCTTTTCTCATTGAGGAAATAGAAGCCATCAGAAGGGAATTCCAATGCCTTCCTGCCCCCAAATCTGTACCATTCCTCCCATATCTGAACCATGCGCAGCGTTCTCCTCCTCTTGAAGGAAAGGTACATGGTTTAGTCCTTTCCCTGCTCCTGGGCTCCGGATCCTGTTACCTGTCATCTGCTAAAGAAGCTGTTCCAGCAGCTGCTTCTGTTTGCTCCGGTCTCATCAGTTTTCGTCTGGTGGGTCACTGCCATCAGCATGCTGTTATTTCTGTCATCTTCAGGAGCAACCCTCGCTTGGTCCCAGCCGGCGCTGTCCTCTGCTGCTCCTTCATTCCCTTGCCCCTGTGCAGCATTATTTCTCAGATGCATGCTCTGTACTTGCCACTCCAACGTCCTCATTTTCTCCTGATCGCACCCAAGGAAGTTTTCCTTCCATTCCTCCCTTGAGACTGCTCTTGTCAATTACCTTGACCTCTGGTTGCCAAAACCACATGGCCTTGCTCAGCCTTTGTGCAGGGGCCCTGGCTGCTCCTTCCTAACCTCCCCTGCTGGGCCCTCTTTGTCTTTCTGAGCTCCAGCATTGAAGCACCCCAGACCTCTGCTCACGCGACTCATATCCCTGGGGCGCACTCATCTAGTGTTTTGGCTCTAATGTCAGGACACATCCAGAGTGAACCTACCCCTCCCTTCCACAGCTACCACCCTGGGCCCGACCACCATCTTCTCTCCCTAGATAACTTCAGTACCCTCCTAACTGGTTTCCCGGCATCTGCCCTGGTCTCCTGTCAGTCTTTTCAGACACAGCAGAGGCCAAGATGATCCTTTTAAAGTTTATTTTTATTTATTTGGAGAGAGAGATAGAGAGCAAGCCAGGGGAGTGGCAGAGAGAGAGGGAGAGAGAATCCTAAGCCGGCTCCAGGCTGTCAGCGCAGAGCCCGACACAGGCCTTGATCTCATGAACTGTGAGATCGTGACCTGAGCGGAAATCAAGAGTCAGACGCTTAACCGACAGAGCCGCCCACGTGCCCCAAGATGATCCTTTTTATTTTTATTTTATTTTATTTTTTATTTTTTTTTAAGATGATCCTTTTTATTTATTTATTTATTATTATTTTTTTTCAACGTTTATTTTATTTTTGGGACAGAGAGAGACAGAGCATGAATGGGGGAGGGGCACAGACAGAGGGAGACACAGAATCGGAAACAGGCTCCAGGCTCTGAGCCATCAGCCCAGAGCCTGACGCGGGGGAACGAACCCACGGACCGCGAGATCGTGACCTGGCTGAAGTCGGACGCTTAACCGACCGCGCCACCTAGGCGCCCCAAGATGATCCTTTTTAAATGTAACTCCTATCTCATTACTCTTCTGCTCATCTCACTCAAAAAAATCCATTCCCTTTTTGTTTTTTTCACATGGCCGACCGCACCTGCCACTCTCCCTTTTGAACACTCTGCTCCATCCTGCAGGCTTTCTTGCTGATTGCTCTTCCTTAAACGCAGCAGACACTTCCTCACTGTGCAGTAAAGGCCTCTGTCCATAAGCATCTTGCCTGAGACCCCAGGCGTGGTTTGCTTCCTCACTCTCTATTTTCTGCTCACCGTCCTCTCCCAGAGAGGCTGGCACTGTCAGGATTCCCGATGTGGTGCACACCCTCCATCATTCTGACCCTCACCCCATTTATAGCTCCAGTTGACACAGATGTTAGGATTTATTGTCTCGTTCCCCACTTGAATGTGACTTCCATAGAGTAGGAGCTTTGCCTGCAGGTGTCCTGCTGTTTTCTTAAGGCCCAGTGTAGTCCGTGGCACACAGTTGGCACTCGGCAAATACACACTGAATGTACACACATATGCTTGGGAGCTTGAGATTGTTGTAGTTAGCAAGGTTTTGGCCAAGACACCTTTTTTCCATTGGGTATTTATTGAGATTCCTTCTCAAATGCTGTTTGGGTTTTTTTTGGGGGGAGGGGAGGGGTTGTTTGTTTCTTTGTTTTTGGCCCTGTATAGTAGTCAGAACACAGAATCCTCATGTGGAATCTTGGGCCTCCCTTTTCTAGTTATGCACTTCAGAGCACTCGTACTTCTGGCTGTTGGAGGGTTCCAGTTAGCTGGCTGTAAGGAGTCAGAATTTTGATGAACTAAATTAGATACAGTCTTAAATATAAGCTATGGATATTAGTTTAATTTTCAGTTGGATTTTATCTTAAAGTGACTACATGAAGTATTCTTCCAAAATCAGGGGTTTTTTTTCTTCTTCTAATTACTCCAGGAAGAGTGTTTTTTGAGCTAAAATGTCTGTGCGATACGATTTGCAAATTTCATGAAGTTTCAGTTCTGTTTTCAAATTACTCATTGCAAAAATCACTGTCTTTGCATTTTCCCAAGTCATCTATATCTTTAGAGAATCAAAAATGTTATTTTAGTTCTTTTCCATGTAAAGAATGGAAACTGAAATGTCTTAGCACTCTTGTTTGGGCCGCTGAGTGAAGAAAGGGGGTAGACTTCGATCTCCTCATACTCCTGTTCTTTTTCTACCCAAGTCAGAAAACTAGTGGATTATCTCTAATAAAATGTATCCCAGAACAGTTTTTAATTGACATTAATGAAAGAATTAAGTTACTGTTTCTGTCAGTGACACAAGTAGGCCTGGACCCTCCTAGGCATCACCAATCTAACTGTTCCGCTCTGTGGAGTGAGCACCTGCACGCTGTTCCTTGGGGGGCTTGCATTTCAGCAGCAGAATCGTCTGGCACCTGTGTGGCCTCAGCATGTTGCTCCATGGGCATCTGTACAGCTTCAAGTCCTGGAGGAGACCCATTTTTTTCTGAGGCTGTTTCTGCCTTGTTCCCTCCTGGGAAATCTGCTGTTCCCTAAAACTGAGCAGAGGCAGGCTGATTTGATTAGATAATGACTTCTCTCATATTGGAAAATTGGGCCAGTTATTGTATTCGGATGCATTTTACTTACCCATGCTTTTTCTTTTTTTTTTTTTTTTTTTTTTTTTTTTTTCTTTTTCTTTTTCCTCTTCTTCATTCCAGGCCTCGTTTAGGAACAGTCATGCACCGGGTGGTTGGACTGGGGATTCTTTACTTTATCTTCGCAGCTGTTGAAGGCGTGATGAGAGTTATTGGGGTAAAAACTACATAATTCCACTTCTATCCCTTTTTATTGTTGCTGTGAAATATGATTTAACTTTATATCTCCTGAGATGAATTTTTAAAGATAGGAAATGTATGAAAAAGGCCCAATTTGAGCTTTTTTCTCCCCCTATGGAATATTTCCCTTTTTAAATAACTTCCTGAATGTAGTAAAAGAACTTCTTAAAATATGATCAATTATGAAGGAAAATATCAATTATAAAGGATAATATGATCAATTATGAAGGAAAATATGATCGATTATGAAGGCACCATTTGATGTCATCCCTGAATGACATCTCCAGAATGTTCCATCCCAAAAACATTCGTGGTTATTCTTTATACAGAACATTTGTCTTTGTTATCATGCAGTCTGAACACATTCATTTCTTCCTTAACCCTTGGTTTTAAACACGTGGAAGTGAACAGAATTAACCGTACCCTTCACACATGCTGATATTACATCTCATCATGCTTGAGTCTCATTTGGTTATAACTGTTCTCTGACTCTTGTGGAGTCAGTGTTTGGGGATTCAACAGTCTCCACTCTTGGAAGACCCACAAGAAGGTAGTGTCCAGGGGGAAATGACTCAGGCGATGTGGGCGGCAATGCTTTACTCTCTAAGTTGAAGAGGCAGAACATTTACATCTGGGAAGACCCCTCGATTTCTGGCTCTCGGTTTTCCTTAATAATATGGTTGACGACTGAGTGACTAAGCAGCTTATTATAGTTTACTCGATTCAAAGAACCTAGTAATTTTTACCCAGAATGTCTTTTGGATTGGATGTGTGAATCAGATCACTGGGCACAGAGTGAATGATCTTGTGTTGCCACGTAAGTTTGCTTCACATATTTTGATCTGAGCCTTACAGCAGGACATTTGTCCAGTAATGTTAAAAGCCTCATTCTTCTATTATCTTCGAAACATCTGCGTTCTGTATTGGACACACTTGCTCTTTTCATCTCTGACTCTCTGAAAGATACATTTATTTTTACTTTTACATAATAGCGAAGTACTGTGCATTTATATATATAATTTACAGGAGCTAGTCTTTGCTAGAAAGAGAAAAGATAAATATCCCGCATGTAGACATAGTATAAACATTGTTTTTCTTTAAGGTTTTACATAGACAACATCTTAGATATAACTTTTAAATATGATTTTCTGTCAACTTGTGATGAAAGTGTCTAATCTATGGTTTATTTTTACTCTTCCACAGTTCCTTTTCTTTGTTTTGTTTTGTTTTTTCATGTCCCTTCACAGATAGTAAGAAAGATCAGGAGTCCCATTTCATTAGTAGCCCTGGCTGTAGGTGTGGAGAGGGGAGAGATTGAAATGGTTTATCTCAGTGGAGCTGGAGACATGATATGTTTTATTTGCCATTGCATAGTACAGTTTTCCATTATCGTTGAATAGGTGGATGGCAGACTAACACCTGTTGCTGCCAAAACAAAAATTTCCAAGTGCATAGACACAATTTTGTTAGGAATAAAATTTTTCTGTGGCTTTTGTAAAATGATGAAATGAGCTAAATTGTTTTTCTTTATCACAGAATAATTTCTATAATGGAATGAAACTTTTACATTCAGATTTTTCCCCGTTTTTTATCTTCCAGGGTTCTAACCATTTAGCTGTCATTTTTGGTGACATTATTTTGGCAGTTATTGACTCCATTTTTGTATGGTTCATATCCTTTACTATGTCCTAAAGTAGTTTGTTGTGTCGTTAAAATCAAATTACTTTCAGTACTGTTCTGTTATAATAGAAGGAACTGGGGCGCCTGGGTGGCGCAGTCGGTTAAGCGTCTGACTTCAGCCAGGTCACGATCTCGCGGTCCGTGAGTTCGAGCCCCGCGTCAGGCTCTGGGCTGATGGCTCGGAGCCTGGAGCCTGTTTCCGATTCTGTGTCTCCCTCTCTCTCTGCCCCTCCCCCGTTCATGCTCTGTCTCTCTCTGTCCCCAAAATAAATAAACGTTGAAAAAAAAAAATTTAAAAAAAAATAATAGAAGGAACTATAGTTATGCATTATTATTTTTAACCTCAATACAGGAATTTAGTTGAAGGTGAAAAAGTAACAATTCCCCAAACAAACGATATCTTTCTTTTTCTATTAGTTCAGCAAACTTAAGTGCTCAATATGTGCCCCATACTGAGGAGACAGAAGAAAAAGGTATTGTTCCTGTGTTACTCTGGTAGGGAAGAAAAATACATAACTAGGAACAATAGAGTGATAGTAATTGCCATTGTAAAGAGATGCTATGCAAATAGAGAAGAGAGAAAGCAATTCTAGTGCAAAACTCAGGAAAGACTTCACAGAGATGGTGACATTAAATTGAGACTGGAAGAACAGATAGAGGCTAACCAGGAAAAGAAGTGGGGAAAACGCATTCTGGGAATATTGAGGGGAATAAATAGTTGGAAGCGTGAAAATACAGGGACCGTGGTAGAATGTCCCAGAGTAGGTTGCCTATAAGGTATACATGTGTGGGAGAATCGTGGAAGGTGGGGCCAGAGGGAAAGGTAGAATGATGTGCTCAAGAGTCTAAAGTTCCTTCTTCAGGTGAGAGGAGACAGGAATCAAAGCCGTGCCGGCAAATACCATGATGAAATCTCTATTAGAAAGAACTTGAAAATAATATTTAAAAGTGACCCGGAAGAGACACCTGGCTGGCTCAGTTGGAAGAATGTGAGACTCTTGATCTTGGGGTGGTGAGTTTGAGCCCCGTGTTGGGTGTAGAGATTACTTAAAAACACAATCTTTAAAAATTAAAAAAAAAAAAAAAAAAAAAAGACCTGAAAAAGGAGGGTCTAGAGTATTGAGACAGGAAGTCTAGTAAAGAGTCGTTTGTAGCGGTCCAACAAAAAGATGGTAAGGGTTAGAAACAGGGCAGAGGGAATGGGAAGGAGACTCCAGATAACAGACTGAGTAGGAATGGGTGGGAAAAGAAGGGCGAGAGGTCAAGAGAAGTCTTGCATATCTCATTTGGGTGGCTAGGGCAGTTTTGCCACCCCACAGCCGTGAACCTAGGGAAGGGACCATCTTGGTGAAGTTTGAACTGACTTGGGCCATTCATGTTAAGTAGAGAGTTGGAAAGCCCAGCCTGGGTTTGTCAGAGGAATTGGAACTGGTGATGAAAGTTGGAGGTCATCTTCACATGAGACAAGGTTGTAGCCTGCAGAAGCGACCCAAGAACATGTAGACGAGTGAGAGAGGAGAGGACCAGGAGGGCGCCTAGTGGAGTGGAAACGTGCATGGAACACCAGCGTGGAAGGAGGCAGAGGAACCCAGAAATTGTCCCGGGGTGAAGACTGGGCGAGCTTGGGTAAGGTAGGGTGGTCCACAGTGGCCAGTACTACAGAGAGATGAGCTGCCAAGGTGTACCTGGCTTAGGTCATTCCAGAGGTCACAGCGGGACAGCAGGAGAGCAGGTTCAGTGAAGCCGATGGGGCAGAAGCTACACTGTAGCAGCAGGAGAACTTTTTAGTGGCAAGGGGAGCCATCCTGGAGAACCCTCCTCACTGCTTCAGTGACTCCAGTCGAGTCTGGGAAATTCCATTCTCTTTAACTCCGAAGCAGAGCCCTCTACTACACATTCTTGGAAATGGGAGGAATCCTAAAGGAAGCGTGAGCTGGGCAGAGCAGAGGGCAGTGCTGTGTGTATCCCAGAATATGACCTTTCTGTTTCTTCTGCATTTATATCCTCTATGAAGCTCTTTTCTATAGATGGATTTGTTTTTTACCAAGTTTTGTTTTTGTGTTTCCACTGTCTTCAGTACTTGTCTTTTTTACCTTTTCATGTTAAATGTTATTTCATTTCCTTGTAATTTCTTTCCATTTTCTCATGTTTGTCTCTCACAGGAAGGCCAGAGGGCTTGAGTTTGCCTGTGTTCCTCCTCTGCAGAGATCCCCCCTTTCTGTAGATGGGCAAACATGCATAGTGCTGCTAACTGCCTTTTCTGAGTCCCCCATGGGTGTTTTCTTCTCAATCCAGTCTGTCTGCCCCTTAAACTCCCTGTTTGCGAATTTTTAGTATGCTTCCAAGTTAAAAACAAAACAAAACAAAAAAACCTTTGACTGTACTCTCCTTACTCTCTAAAGCAGCGGGTCTCAGCCTCCTTTGGGTGCCGGGATCAGAGAGGCCTTTGAAAAGTGAATGAAAGCTGTCAAGCCTCTTGTCACAAGGTTCATACACTCCATGGATGTTTTGCCTGCATTAGGGCATTTAAAAACCTAAATTATATCAATGGATCCTCTAGTCTAAGGGGTGTCTAGTTAAGAAATAATACCTGATTTAAAGGGTTGTTTCTTACCAAACTTGCTTAAAAATCTGCTGTACTTCTGTTCAAAGCTACTAGTTTGGAATCCAAGTTTGTTGAAAGAATTTATAGTTAAATTTTATAGTTATCTTTTCAGAGAATGCTATAAATCTTACTGTAGTGTCATTTTTATGTTTTCCCCATGAAAACACATTTAACGACATTCAGCTATTAAGAAGGTGAAACACCTTGCTCAGTCCTGCCCAGGAACAGTGCCCTAACTATAAGTACTCCTCCCCAAGGGCTGTGCTTCCTTCTCGGCTACACTGCAGCCGCATTGCTTGTTGGGATGCTCACCTGACTTGAGGACAAGGGGTGGGCAGTGTAGACATACCTGGCACTGGGATCGGCAGAATTGCAGTGAAGATGAACCTAGCTTTTGGTCTCAGATCTTCTATTCTGTCATTTGTGCATTTAGAAAGTGAGCTTCAGATGTCTGCTGAATTTGGAATTGTCTTGTCTCCAAAATTGGATACGCTTGGAGCCTTTCATTAGTTAAGGAGTATGCTCTTCAATTAATTGAGCTGTGGACGCTGCATTTTAAAAAATCTGTATTATCTTTTTTCCTGGTAATTTACAAGATATGTATTTCAAAGATTTCTTGTTCTTAACCAACCATCCACAAAGTAGTTCACTAGGAAAAACAGTAATGCAACTTGGCAGAAAATTCCAAAGACAAGCAGCTCTAACGACCAAATTCCATCTGGATGTGAATGAGGGTAATTTATCACCTTTATGGACAGCATTGGCTTTGGTCCATTTCCAACACAATAATGAGCCAAATTGGAGTGGGGAGATAAGGAAAACAAGGCAAAAGACGTAGTTTGCTTAATGATTAATATTTTTAATAAAGATGTTTGTGATAAAAGTCATGAAGAAATTCAGAAATTAAAATTATCTTGGTTAGTGTTTCATGGTGAGAGAAAGGACACTTAGTATCCATTTCAGCTTGAACCTGAATTTCCTATTTGCTTTTAGATGGCTATTTGGCAGTTTTCTTGACGGAAGTGAAAAATCTGCATTTTCTGTACCGACAGAGAATACATTTCTTTTTAAAATTTTTTTTAATGTTTATTCACTTTTGAGAGGGCACAAGTGGAGGTGGGACAGAGAGAGGAGGAGACACAGAATCTGAAGCAGGCCCCAGGCTCTGAGCAGTCAGCACAGAGCCTGAAGTGGGGCTTGAACTCGTGAACTGTGATATCGTGACCTGAGCCGAAGTCCCACTGTTAACCCACTAAGCCACCCCAGCGTCCCAGGAGAGCAGATTTCCTAAATGATTACAAATGGCAGGCAAAAGAAGCAGATCTACATACATCACAGAATTGAGTGCTTGTATAATGACCCCGTTTCCTGTGCTTTGATGAACTTAACATAGCTATCCCCTAAGAATCTGATTCTAAAGTAAAATAGCTTGAAAAATTGAAAGCCATAGCTTTTCTCTTGAAGCCCTCTTCCTCTTTTTTTTATGCTTGTTTTAATTTTGTGCTGTTTTGCTGCAGGCAAATGACTCTGATCTTGTGCTTCTGGCCAGCCTCCCTCTCTCTCTCCTTGACTCTGGCTTGTGCTGGTGGATATCCTTTTCCTACCGCAGAGCACGTCCGCCTTCCCGTTGCTTCTAACTCCACGATAACCGGGCCTGTTTGCTTTCGTAACCACTTCCCTTTAATGGGAGAAATGATTTAAGCTTTGCCGAAATTTAACAGTATCTTGGTAAGTGGGGGTTTAGGCAGTTTTGAATTTGCTTTTGATCTTTTTATTCCTGGGCTTCGAAGAAGTACTTTAGAATTATTAAATGAGACCAGCTTGCTCACATAGAAAATTCATTTTATTCAGGAATTTTTAAAAAAGAATTTTTCTTGATAATGTTTAATGAGTACAGCATATTTGCATTTTTGTAAATTCTAACAATAGCCTTCATTCGTTGAATTGTGTTATTTTAGAAATGGATCTTCTTGCGACTACTCCTTGGTCATTTAGGAAGATTGAGTCGCAGTTTTGAGTACTACACTGAAGTTTCTGACTAATGAAGAATTGGGAATTTAAAATAGGCAAAAATACAAAACGTGCCACTTCCATTCTTGGGCTTTGCTCTGTAATTTTCAGCATATGGTTCATGAAACAAAGCTTGGTGGTGTGCTCCAGAGAAAGCACCTTCCTCTTACGAAGAGAGAGCTGCCGCGGAGCTCGGTGGAGAAGCCTCTTTTTACTTCTTCCTACTTGTCAGTGTTGAGCTTCACCTGATCCCTGTACTCCTGGAAGACAGCCACGGTTAACAAAACCCCCACCCTTTCGTGTTCGGGAAAAGCCTTACTACAAAGGACCTCCTTTCTCCATAGGACTCACCTGAGACTCCCGGATGCCCCCTTGTCACCCATGACCAGGCCAGGCACAGACCTCCTGACCAGTCTGGGCAGAACGCCAGCCTGGACCAGACGAAGCGGTCTCCCTCCCCAGGGCCCTGAGCTTTCGTCCACCGCAGCCCTCCTCGGTGGCCTCTTCTGAGAATCTGCACACCTCAGGGAAAGTCTTTCCCCGATCAGCTGACCAGTCACGCCACCCACTTCCCCACACCGGCTTTCCAGTCTTGTTTACCTCTCCCCACAAAGGCAAAGCCCTGTCCAGCCTGACCTGTGGGACTCTTGCAGATCTTAGACTTGGAACATTCTCCCCATTGCAGTGAGCCTCCTCTGCTTGTCTCAGTAATCTTTTGAATGAAGTCTCCCCAGACTTAAGTCCAGATTTATTTGACATTTAAATTTTTTAATTTATAAATGGAATTGATAGATGACCTAATATGGTCATTCAGAGGATAAAACAAGAGGAGACTAGAAAGAACAAAATAAGAAAGAAACAGAGACAAAAGCACAAGCCAAAGGGCATGTCATAATGTGATCTGTAAGAGTATCTGGCCTAAGGGGGACTCCTTTCCTGCATATACCGGTCTTTCCTGTTCTGGGAGCTTGACCTTGAAGGAGAACATCACAGGACTTCTTGCTTATTGTCTTCCTCAAAGTTTGTTTAGTTCAGACAATGGTAAACTGTAAAGCAAAATCCGTGATAAAATCAGTATCATGATCATACAGTATTGGCTAAAGTAATATTTTCTGTGTTTTTATTAGCTTTAAATTATAGGAACTATATTTAGCAGTACTAATTTTAGAAATGTAGTAGAGGATTATTATTTTGGTTTTTATTTTAACTGCTTGTTACTGTTTAAAATGGTTTTCCTTAACTTTTTTTCACATATTTATAAGTTTGGCCCAAACTATGAAGACTCTAAGGCTAAGAAAGAACACGGTGAAATTTTCTTTATACAGGCACTTTACAAATACTCTGATCTTTGCCGTACTGGGTAAGCTATTTGATTTTTCTTGTTATAATAAATTATTTCAGTTTTGCGTGTTCCTTCAAAGGTGACTTTTTTTTTGGTGTGTTTCAGCTTCTGTAGTATTTATGGTGTGGACGACTAAGACATTTAGAATTGCAAAATGTCAATCCGTAAGTATAATCTTCCTATTTAAACAGTTTTCATTTCTAATTATACTATTTTGGGTAATTTTGATTACTTTAGTTTGTGTTTGTAAATAAAGGTAACTTTAGTGGAGATTGTCAGTTTAGTTTTTTTTTTCTTTTTTAATTTTTTTTATTTTTTTTTTTTATTTTTTTTTTTTAAATTTTTTTTTTTGCGTTGTTTTTGAACAGAGAGAGACAAATGAGCAGGGGGAGGGTCAGAGAGAGGGGAGCCTGAGGGAGTCTGAAACAGGCCCGAGCTCCTGAGCTATCCGCTTCAAGAGCGCCAAGGCGACGGAACTCGAACTCCGGTTCGGTGAGATCGCTGACCCTGGAGGGCCACATGGGACCGCTTAGAAAGCGGGCTAGAGCACAAAACCGCCACTGTTTTTTTTCAAGTTTGGCAATCTCCAATTAACTTTACTCCAGGGGTGCAACAATGATTTCATGGTAGTGCCGAAGCGCCCTTCCCATGTTAAGCCCACGTTCCCTCCCGGTAACCTCTGTTTGTTTTCTTATCCATATATTTACAGGTCTAATTTGCATCCACCTCTTCATTGTTTTTTATAACCATTTTTTTGTTCCCTTCCATATTCATTAATCTGTTTGTCTCTTAAGAAGTCCATAATTCGAGTCATATGAATTTTTTATTAAACAACACCTACTCTGACCCAGGCATGATTTCGCAAGTATAATACCTCGGTTCCAAATCGCAGTGATTCTTGCAAATAGCCAAGATTTTATTCTTTTTTGTGATTATAGGCCATCCGCCAGTGTATATAACCATATCTCTTTTTCCTACATCTTCCTTTATCCATTCATGTCATCAGTGGACATTCAGACTGTTCCATGCTTTATTCATGTTGGTGGTGCTTTTCTCAACATGAGAGTTCCATGTCCCTTTGAGCAGCACACCTGTATCCCTTGGATAAATACCTACTAGTGCAATTGCTGGGTCATAGGGTAGTTCTATTTTTAGTTTTTTGAGGAACCTCCATACTGTTTTCCAGAGTGGCTGCACCAGCTTGCATTCCCATTTTGTCAATTTAGTTTTAATTATTTTACTAGAATTATGTGGACTTTTGCTTCCTTTAAATGAATCTGGAAAAGTTCCTCCTAAATCTACTTTTCCAGTTAAGCTCTTTTCTCAACTTCCCTTCATATATACTGTATATATTTTTAAATGTTTATTTATTTTGAGAGCGAGAAATTGTGCAAGCATGAGCAGGGGAGGAGCAGACAAAGGGGGAGAGAGAAAATTGTAAGCAGGCTCTGCACTGTCAGCACAGCCTGACACGGGGCTCGATCCCACAAACCGTGAGATCATGACCTGAGCCAAAATCAAGACTCAGACACTTAACAGACTGAGCCACTCAGCCACCCCCCCTTTATATATGTTGAAAAATAATTATCTTCCTTGTAATTTCAGGTAGCAGGAAATCTTTTTTGTCTTGCATACCATGAAATTGGGTTATCTTGTATCTAAATGGGACTGTAAACCTTGAGTCTGACAGGTTTCTAGGATGGTATTATGAATATTCAGGAGGGTGGGTGGGTTCTGTAGGCAGAAGATACATTTCTTAGACTTAAAAAATTTTAAAGGCCCTCTTGGGAGCTTCTTGATCTAGAGCTAGTCTCGATGTTCTAAACAAACAATTACAAACAACCCTCTGAATATCCTGGACTTCTGCCTCAGGGATAATTTAGTGAGAGAAGAAACTGAACTTTCTGGAATTTCTTTTTTCTCCTCCCCTTACCTTAGTGTTTTCACTTGAGAGTTCTAAGTTTATCTTTGGGATTTTTGTTTTTGTTTTCTAAATCTTTCTGTTGACCCTAAGATTTTATGGAAAGGAGTATTTATGATGTTAAACAGCCATTTAGAAATGTTTCAAACAATATGTAATAAAATCTCCTATCTTACTAAAAGCAAAATAACCTACTGGGAAAAATCCTACATTGAGATCTTCGCATCAGAAATTCTAATGTCATCAACGTCAAAAGTACCCATTGTCGGGGCGCCCGGGTGGCTCAGTCGGTTAAGGGTCCGACTTCAGCTCGGGTCATGATCTCGCGGTTCGTGAGTTCGAGGCCCGCGTTGGGCTCTGTGCTGACAGCTCGGAGCCTGGAGCTTGTTTCGGATTCTGTCTCTCCCTCTCTCTCTGACCCTCCCCCGTTCATGCTCTGTCTCTCTCTGTCTCAAAAATAAATAAACATTAAAAGAAAATTAAAAAAAAAAAAAAGTACCCATTGTCAACTTGCTTCTAACTCTCCTGTTAACCTGCCTCGTGACTGTTGTCATCTAGAAAATAGATGAAATGACCTCTGAAACCCCTTTAAATTCAAATTCAAGATATAGCATTTCTTATTTTTATTTTCTTAAAAAAAATACGTGCTTATTTGGAAGACTCACTGCTCGGAAAGACTTCATTAGTGTTTGCCATTGTACACTATTCGGGAAACCTATGTTGTTTATCAGAAGGTTGACATTTCGTGTTTGAATTGTCCTTGTTACAGGATTGGATGGAACGTTGGGTTGATGATGCATTCTGGAGCTTCCTTTTTTCGCTTATCCTTATTGTGATAATGTTTTTGTGGAGACCATCAGCAAACAACCAGAGGTACCTAACGTAGGAAAATTCAAGTTTGGCAAGCATTTGTGGGTAACTGCTACTGTGTTCAAATAGAAACACATTTATATAGAAACTGGAGAGGTAGCCCTTGCTTTTAAAGGAGAATACAGTCAAGTAGGGAGACAGACGTAATGCAAGAAAGTGAAATAAGAGATGTATAAACTAGAAGTCCAGGGGTAAGACTGAAGATGGATGAGGAAAACTCCATGAAAAGGCAGCACTTATGTTACGCCTTAAGGAAAGGAGCAGAGCAGTGAAAGACTGAGCCGGGAAAGAATGTACATTTTCTGAGGTAGTGGAGACAAACATGGTGTACTTTGGAGGTCACTGAGGCATGCGTTTTGGTGAATACTACTTACACTGGAAGGGAATAAAGCTGGAAAGGAAGGATGGGACCAAAATCATAAGGAGCTTAAATGGTAAGTTCAGGTTGCACTGTTGACTGCGTGTGATGGGAAGCCCCCCCTTCCCTTGCCCCCTCCTCTTCCCCAGGGAAAGTACTATGAGGTTTTTTGTATGCCCTTCCAGGGAAAAATGAAAAAGTATATTACCCATGTGTGTGTTTCTTTCTCTGTTTTTAAAAGCGTACGATAATAATTATACATAGGTACTTCTATACATGTATTCACTGTTCTGCACCTTCTTGTCTGAGATCTATCTTTCCATATCAACCTGTATAGGTCTACCACATTTTTTTTTTTTTAAGTAGGCTCCATGCCCAGTGTGGGGCTTGAACTCACAACCCTGGATCTAAAGTCGCATGCTCTACTGACTGAGCCAGCGAGGCACCCCAAGACCTACCACATTATTTTTAATGACTCTGTGGCACTTCATAATATGAATGTAGCATAATTTATGGAAGCAGTCCCTAATTTTTAGGCTCTTTGTTTCTAGGATTATTGTTATTATCACCAATGCTTTCTGAATGCTGTTGGACCTAGTAAATGTGGCTCAGTCAGTATGCTTTGTTTTCACCAGTCAGATTAGCAGTTTATCTTTTGTTAGGGGAGGAATTAACACGTAGTGGGCAAGGGGGGTAACCTGACATGGAAAAAAATGTACAGAAAATCCCCTTCCCCGAACATTGTATGTTGCAGAACTGCTTTCCAGCAAGATCTTATCCAGTTATGCTTTTGTCAGCAGGGTTTGGGTGCTCCAGTTTCACTGTTTCATTGGTAGTAATCTTTCCTAATTTGAGAGTAAAATAATTAAATTTTTGTTATGTGAATTTATGAGAAATTGTAAAAATGTAGATATCTTTGTATGCAATGACACTGTTAGCTATAAACTGAAAACTGAACAGATTTAAATGCACTGATAACACTATTCCTTCTTGGTTTTGGTGTAGATATGCCTTCATGCCATTAATTGATGATTCTGATGATGAAATTGAAGAATTCATGGTAACATCTGAGAATTTAAGTGAGTGATATGTTTTCTTATTAAATGACCATTGTATTGTACCTTTACCTGTGAGGCAAAATCACATACACTGTTTTCTATTAAAATAATTTTCAAACTATATCTGCAAAAACCTCTATTATGGTAGATAATCACAAAAGAAAAGTCAGTAACGAAAATGAATTTTTCTTTTTTTTTTTTTTTTAATTTTTTTAATGTTTATTTATTTTTAAGAGACAGAGCATGACCGGGGTAGGGGCAAAGAGAGAGGGAGACACCGAATCTGAAGCAGGCTCCAGGCTCTGAGCTGTCGGCACAGAGCCCAATTCGGGGCTCAAACCCACGAACCACAAGGTAATGACCTGAGCCGAGGTCGGACGCTTAACCGACTGAGCCACCAAGGCACCCCAGTAGTGAAATTTTCAAGATTGTTAGTGCAGTGTGAGCTTTTGATACTTATTTGCTCTTAAGGCCTTAAGTATTAAAGTAAGTAAACTTTTTCACACTAATAATTTAGTTTATATTGTGCTTAGCTCCTAATAATCTTCTTAATGATAATTGCTAAATTTCCTTCAATCACCTCTTCTTGCTCTTGAGAAATATACAGATCTGTTAATTCCTGGTCATGCCCAAAGCATTTCTAGTTATAGTTTTAGTGCTACTTTCATCTTTCAATTAATTTCTTCATAGCATTTTATCATTTTATTAATTTTACCATAATACTTTAATCATTTGTTGAGGCAACATCAACACATAATTCAGTTGCTGAGAATAAGTATAGAGATGTAACGTTTACGAGTTAACAACTCTCAATATTATGAAGCAGTCAGTTCCACAAATTGATCAATAGAATCTGTACAATCCCAATCATAATTCTAACTGACCTAAAAAAAAAGAAAATACAAGTGGTTAAAATGATTTTATAATGTATGTGGAAAAAGCATAGGACCTAGAAGAGTCAAAACATTCTTGTAGTTAAACATGGACAAATCTGGAAAACATTATGCTAAGTGAAAGAAGCCAGTCATAAACATCACAAATTTTATGATTCCATTTATATGAAAAATCTATAAGGGGCTCCTGGGTGGCTCAGTCGGTTAAGCATCTGACTTCGGCTCAGGTCATGATCTCACAGCTTGTGAGTTCAAGCCCCGTGTCAGGCTCTGTGCTGACAGCTCAGAGCCTGGAGCCTGCTTTGGATTCTGCGTCTCCCTCTCTCTCTGCCCCTAACCCACTTGCACTCTGTCTCTCTCTCTCTCTCAAAAATAAACAAA